GGCCTCCAACCTACTAGCAATGGCCTCCAACCTACTAGCAATGGCCTCCAACCTACTAGCAATGGCCTACTGGCAATTGCCTCCAACCTACTAGCAATTGCCTCCAACCCACTATCAATGGCCTCCAACCTGTTGGAGGCCATTGCTATCGATGGCGTCCAACCTACTAGCAATGGCCTCCAACCTACTAGCAATGGCCTCCCACCTACGATGGCCTCCATCCTACTAGCAATGGCCTCCAACCTACTAGCGATGGAGCGATGGCCTCCAACCTACTAGCAATGTCCTCCAACCTACTAGCAATGGCCTCCAACCTATTAGCGATGGCCTCCTAGCGATGGCCTCCAACCTACTAGCAATGGCCTCCAACCTGCTAGCGATAGTCTCCAACCTGCTAAATTAGCAATGGCCTCCAAGCGCTGGCCTCCAACCTACTATCGTTGGCCTCCAACCTACTAGCAATGGCCTCCAACCTGCTAGCGATGGCCTCCAACGGACTAACGATGGCCTCCAACCTAGGCCTCTAACCTACTAGCAATGCCAACCTACTAGCGACGGCCTCCAACCTACAAGCAATGGCCTCCAACCTACTAGCAATGGCCTCCAACCTGCTAGCGATACTCTCCAACCTATTAGCAATGGCCTCCAATCGTTGGCCTCCAACCTACTAGCGCTGGTCTCCAACCTACTAGGGATGGCCTCCAACCTACTAGCAATGGCCTCCAACCTACTATCGTTGGCCTCCAACCTACTAGCAATGGCCTCCAACCTGCTAGCGATGGCCTCCAACCGACTTGCGATGGCCTCCAACCTACTAGCAATGGCCCAACCTGCTAGCGATGGCCTCCAACCTACTAGCAATGGCCTCCAACCTGCTAGCGATGGCCTCCAACCTGCTAGCGATGGCCTCCAACCTAGGCCTCCAACCTACTAGCAATGGCCTCCAACCTACTAGCGGCCTCCAACCTACTAGCCAAAAAAGAGTCTCTGGTTTTTGGCCATGGCACTCATGATTGTGCAGTTCTTGTCCGTTCATTTGATAAGGGCAGTGGATGTGTCTCCTCTAATTCTTGGGTCTCCTAACAGTGTTGTCGATGCCACTTGTCGCCACACCTGACAAAAGTATCCGCGAGTATTTGAGCATGTGGAAGTGAGAAAATCAGCCTAGAATAAGTACTCTGGCAAATGGAAGAAGCTGGCAAGAAGAATAACTACGTAACCACAAATCTCAACAAAGCTTTTAGCAAATCACCCTTTTACATGTTTGAAGAACAACCAAATCCATCCTTGGCACTTCGCACCACCTGAGGCCAGGCTGAGGCAACCACACAGGTCACGGGGATGAGAGGCAATGGCGTTCACCACCTGAGCGGGAGAAGGAGCTTCCAATGGAAACTCCTTTTGAGTTGCAAGAGCGGAACTGCTTTGTTCCTAGTAGCGAATATTGCTCCTAGTAGTAAGGCCAGGAGCCCCTAGTAGCGTCCTTGCTCCTAGTAGCGATGCCCTTTGCTTCTAGTTGCGTCCTTGCTCCTAGGTGCTTATGATCGGGGGAAGGTATTTGTAAAGCCTAACGACCTAAACTTGCTCCCTCCAGCATGGTGTGGGGTAACCTCATCCAGCTGAGGTTGCGACATAGTGATCGCCTGACGCGAACTCGGACACCTCCCCTTTGATGGCCAAATGAAGAAAAAGTGTGCATATCGGAAAAAATGACGAAGTCTAGCCCCTAATAGCTTCTTGTTCCTAATAGCAAACATTGCTCCTAGTAGTACGGCCAGGAGCCCCGAACGTAGCGTCCTCCCTCCTAAGGGCCTCCCTCCTAAGGGGCCTTTACTTTCCTTTTTCCTCTCGTTCTTCGTCAGGTGCCACAGCGTGCCACAGCCACCCCACCCTTTTCTCAGGAAAAAGCAGGTTCGCTTTGCTTGTCGTAATGTGCTGCCGCTGCCCTTCGATGGGTCCAGTCAGCTAGTCAGCGAAACATTCGGCCGCTGCGGCTTGGGAGAGAAAGGAGAGACACAGCTAGGTCCGGAACGCCTTAGCTTTCTCTACCTCCCTACAAGAAGCTTGCCCACAGGGACGAGTTGGTTCACTAAAAGCTTCACTTTCAACTTTGAGGCCGATGGTATGGCCGCGTTGCTGCATAGCGGGGTCATACTTTTAAGCGATTGGATTCCCCAAGCCGTGGGAAAAGTAATCAGAAAAGTAGCTGAACTGATGTAAGATCGGTCAGCAGCTGACCTGGTCAACCTAGCTGGCTCCAATTGAGCATTGCCCAAAGGGAAAACACAAGGCCAAGAGCAGAACTGGATTCAGGGAATGTGATATGTCCACATGGTCTGAGTTGGGTGTGCAAACTATTTGGTGTGAAAATGTCGGGTGAGGTGTCTGACATGTATCTTTCACGCAAAAGGGACATATCACAACCCCTGGTTTTGGGTGGTGCTCAACCGAATCCTTGCTAGGACAGAGTGAGACTGCAAGAGATGACTCTGAAGGACAATTGCCTAAGCCTCAGAGTCACGAAAGTTGAATGCATTGAATTCTTCAGACCTCTCTGTAGATCCCATAGGCATAAAATAGACACATTGTTGCTGCATTGACTGCGTTGATTGCATTGGCTGCTCTGGACTTTGGCGCTCAGGCTTTCCATCTTTTTGCTTCGTGGTCTCTGGCATGAACGGTGGAGATAAGAAGTCCTCGGCGATGGAACCGTTTACTGGCGATAAAAAAGAATATGCGATGCTTCCTCTGCGCAAGAAATGATTTCAAAGCGAGCATGTTCAATGCATTCATAACAGACACTACTTGATGTGTTTTCAAAGGGTAGAACCAACAAGCACCAAACCCCTTAATTGAACCAAGGATCGGCTGTCCACTTGTCTGGTAAATTCTCAGTCGGCAAAGGCAAAGCATAATCCACTTCATCCTCCATGCTCGATTCGAAAATGAAACTTAGGCATGTGGTCGCGGGTCAACACAGAGAAAGAACGCACAAATGAGATGACACTCCTGCGGCGTGGGACGCTTCTCGTTGCGATGATGGTAAAACGCACAAAGCTTTTGCCGAGGACAAACCTCACGCACAAATAGAGCAGGGCGTCTAGATCAGCAAGCTCTGCACAGGGTATCTCTGCAGGTGTTCATTATCGTGGGTGGTACGGAATGCTAGATTCAAGATCTATGCTTGGAAGTTTGGAAGCTTTCAATGATGCCAGTTCACCCACTGAAACAAGGCTTTCCCTGGCCTTCCCGCGTACATCACGACAAATGACTGTCTTGAAGTAGTGAGGGTGGTACAGCTGCTCCTCAACTTACATCATGCACTGTATGTTGCAAATCTCCTTATTCCCTGGTGGTCACACACTGTCTCGGCCAAAAACATACACGAAAGCAGTTCAGTTCGTAGTCCTTGGCACCATGAGAGTATGGGCAGCGCAGGCCCAGGGGGCAGCGCTGTGAGTATTCAGCTCCTGTGTCCTTTTTGGACCAGTAGGGGCAAAGCCTGGCTGTTTTCGATCACCGTTCGACCTCTTTTTTACAAAAGGTCCCAAAAAAGACATGAAAGAAGAAGGCCTTGGGGCATGACTACCTTTCATTATGTTTTGTGTTCCATCCTCATTGTTTCTTTTCAGCTATGAATCGAAAACGAACTAAACGTCTTCTCGTCCAAAGATGGTTCTTCGGCCTGGCACCATAGCCGATACTGGGTGGGCGTCGAGCATCTTGATAGTTGTGACCATAAACGCAATTGTGCCATTCATGTTGCACACCAATTGGGCACCAATGGATCCTCAGGTCAAGATCAGCAGCTCAGTAGCCCAAAAACAAGCAAGACCTCAGATTGATTCTCAGTTTTTGTTCAATGTTTTCTTGAAGAAACAACATGACTTCATAGACTTCATAGCTCGAGCGTCTTGTATTTGTACATGAAGAATTCGTCCGTCATGGCTCCCGGCAACTGCTGCTCCTCGTGTTCTTCCAGCAACGGAGCAGAGATCCTCAGCTTCGCTCGCGACGGGACTGCGTCAGTGACTGCATCATAGATGGTATTTAAAACTTTAAAGGCCGCTCTGCACTCCAACCTAGAGCCTCCAATTAATAACAACTAAAGATCTGAATCCTAGATGCACTCTAGTAAAGACGTAAAGGAAGTTGCATCGCACTTGCTCAAAATTTCTCGCCACAGTATGTCACTTGAGGTTTTTTGGACATGTCTCAGGAACAGACACTAAATAACTCATACCTGCAAGAAAAACCTTAGATGGTTATCCTCAACAAAATGTGTCGTGGTCTTATAACCGTACCAGCAGTGATGGCTAGGGTACTGGCAATAGTGATAATTTTCGGAACAGTTGTGAGGGCCTTCGCGCATGGTGAAAAATCTGGAGAAATGCGATCGAAACCATCCTATTTGACAAAAGTCCTTTCTAACACATAGCAATTAGTGAAAAAGAAACGTTCACCTAGTTGACTGGGCCTGGGGATCACAAGTGTGAGTCGAGGTGCTCTTCCCTTGTGTGAGCGAAAGCACAGGCGGCACCGCGGCGGCATTGGCTCACATCAGGGAAGGAGGTGCAGAATCGTCGCTTTTTCCTGAAAGGATCTGCCCATCGCTCTTCGGTTGGAGGCCATTGCTAGGAGGTTGGAGAGCAACGCTAGTAGGTTGGAGGACCAGAGCTATGCTTTTGTCTTCAACGCTTCCAAAACCCTTCCCGGCTCAGCCGTGTGGTCCGCCACGCCTTCCTTGCCACTCTTCGATGGGAATTGGCCATCCCCAGGGAGTGGTAGTACCACTTTCATCCCTCCATGGCTCCTGCAAAAAGGTGCTGATGATTTTGCATGATTTTGGCTCGAAGCATCCAACGACAGTAACAAGGACGCTACTAGGGGCTCCTGGCATCGCTACTAGGAGCAAGGATGCTACTAGCGGCTCCTGGCCGTACTACTAGGAGCAAGAAGCTACTAGGAACACCTTTCCAGGTCGGCTCTCAAGTTCCTATTTTAAGTCCGTCCTGCCAGGTACTGGCTGGCACCCAGGGGCGGCCTTCGAAGGAACCTTGTTCTGGACTATAGCCTTCATGGCTTTGCGACACCTGACACACGAGTCCCGCGGTTCGACGAGTCCCAGGTGATCGCTGGCCTCTCCTAGTAGCTTCCTTGCTCCTAGTAGCGATGCCAGGAGCCCCTAGTAGCGTCCTTGCTCCTAGTAGCCTTACTAGCCGTGGCCGTGGCCGTGGCCGGCCTCCGAGTCCAATGGCTTCAGCCCCAGAGTTGCCATGGCCGCGACCCCAAGACATCCAATTGCTGCAGTCGCCGAGCATCACATCCCAAAAAACATTCCGTGGCAAATGGTTGAAAAACGATGCCATCAATTGAACACCAGATCATCGCATGCTATCTTGGAAAAAAAACACATATAGATGTATATATATATATAGCCCATATAAATTATACAAATTATATATATATATATGCATCTGTCTAAACACAAAGAGGCTCTTATTGAGGCTCTTTTTCAGGCTCTTTGAGGCGCTTCGGTCGCGCACTTCGTGCACTTCGTGCCTCGGCGCACCAGCAGCAGCTGTGCCGAAGCGGCATCCCAGATAAAGAGGTGCCCGCAGTCGGAACCTCGTGGCTGACATACCGCTTGAAAAAAGGAACACAAAGAAGCCGAGACCGCTTCAATTCTTTCTTGCTACTTGGCATACTTTGTACTATAGTAAAGGGAAAAATTTGGTTTGTTCATGTTTGTTCCTGCCACTGCGCTGTAAGCTACGCCGAGGAACATTTCTTGGAACAGTCCCTAGCTTAAAACTTGAAGCACGTTTGAGTCTTGAACTGGAATGCTACTTGCTTGCTACAAGCACGCTTCTGAGGGCTTTAGGTGCGGGCCTTCACTCCTTTTGCTGCTGCATTGGTGCGGGCCTTCACTCCTTTTGCTGCTGCATTCTTTTGGAAACCAGGGTGCTCTCTTTTGCAGGAATTCTTTTGGGGGCTATCAAGAACGGAATAAGACTACTACCTACCTAAGAATCTATATGTTATACTTGCAAGTCTATCAGAATCACAGCAGACGCAAACAAGTCCAGTCTAGGTTAGCTTTGCGTCTGGATCATCTGTCACAAGGTGCCCGACCACTGGCCACGAGAGCTGCCTTCCAAGTGTGGAAAGCCATCAATAACAACAAGCTATTAGGGGCTCTTGGCCTTACTACTAGGAGCAAGGACGCTATTAGGGGCTCTTGGCCTTACTACTAGGAGCAAGGACGCTACTAGGGGCTCTTGGCCTTACTACTAGGAGCAAGGACGCTA